GCGGCGCGCCGCCCGACCAGCTCCCTCCCGGGGATCGCCGGGCGCCGATGCTATGGAGACCAAGTGGGAAGGTGGCACCTTCGCCGGGGTGCAGGGAGAACGCTGCACTGGGCGCTGCCAGGGAGGAAGACTTGATTAAAAACGGACAGGTTCCTTCTGGTCTACATTGTGGCCAGCACGCGGGCATCATCTGTCTGTTGCAAGGAAGGAAGGTTGCAACGTGTTTTACTTCTGTTTGTGGTATTCTGGGGCGCCCGGGCTCCCTTGGACGTACAACATATGTACACAAAATGCATAATTATATTGTTCATGTGTTTGGTTTTAACCCTTGATAAGAAAGAGGAAAGGAAGGAAGGAAGGAAGGAAGGAAGGAAGGAAGGAAGGAAGGAAGGAAGGAAGGAAGGAAGGAAGGAAGGAAGTGGGGAAGAGAGAAAAGAAGAATACCTGCACCCTCAGTGCCTTTGGTTAAATAAAAGGTGGGTAGTTTAATGTATATTCCTTGGAAGTTTATGATTCTTCGCTTAACTAATTCACAGCACACTACTGAAATATCAATATACTGACAAAATTTGTGGCCACACATTGTGCTTGTCAATAAACAATTACTGATGATATTTTCAAGATTTATTTTAAATTACTTATATTCCTTTAAAATGTGATTTTTGCCTCATTTTCTCCTCAGGCAGAATTATAGACATTTATTTAAGACTTTTGTTTATATGTATATATGGGTATAGCATCAACGAATCTAATTCATTAAGTAAAGCAAGAAAACTATACTAGCTTAGTGTTAATTATTAATGCATTTGACATGCATCACAATCCTCTGAGAGGCAATTCAGGCAAATGATTCCAAAATAGTTTGCCCTTGGACCACATTCTCAAGGTTGAAATCTCTGGATTTATTTAAGCCAACAGGGGGAGTAGATTTTTCTTAGGGATCCTGGGACCAAATCTCAGAAGCATGAATCTAAATACAGAACCGTGTAAGAATGTTCCCTAAGTCAGCCAATAATAATACAATGGACATGTATGCACAGAATGGATAGCTGAAAAAAAATGTCAAAAGTAGCTAATAGTATCCGCCATTGTTCAATTAGATAGTTATATAAATATGTAATAAATGTATACCTTCTATAAAACAAGCCATATTTCTAAAACTCTGGAATGCATCAAAATAATACCTATCCCCAAAGGTGATCGAGCATGAGGAGGAAAGAAAAAAAAAGACAATTAAGCTATCTCCTTCCAAACAAAAGATTCAAGCGAGTGGGGACGTGACTCATCTACATGCTTTTGAAAATAATCTGCTTTTCCAATCTCATTAAATGTAATTCATTTAATGTAATTCATTAAATGTAATTCATTTAGGGATACCCATGATTTTGAAATTCTGGAAAGTTATAGAAAAAATCTAAATTAAATAAATATCTGTGAAGCTTGGTGGTGACATAAAAATGATTCTGCTAAGCACTTCTGCTCACGGTTGACCCCAAATGTCCAGAGATCTAAAACACCTAATTGCTAAGTCTGACTCTATACAGCTGAGGGGGCACCAAGTAACAGCAACCCAACATGAAAACATTGTTTCTAGAATAATATAATGACATTCACCTTTATTGAAATAAACATTATCTGGATCTCTCCCCCATTCTCTTAGTAGTAGGGTGGGTGCTTGAATAAGAGTTACTGCTAATACTGATTTATTCATTCTGATAATATTCACTTATTGCCTAGAATTACACTAGGATCTGGAAATGTCCCCTGAAATATCTCACGAGCTACATGGGAAACAGGCACATAAATAAAATTACAAATAATTACGGATAAAATTGGACAATTGATCCAGCCTGGGATTGAAAGTGTACAGAAAAGATTTTAGGAGGCGATGGTTCCTTGTCTGTCTTAAGAGAAACGTAGCCCTATGAAGATGATGGCAGCCTCGTGGAACTAAGTGGGGATAGGTGGTGCTACTTGGAAAGCATCCCGGCCGGAGGGGACATCTTGAGCAAAGTCGTAAACACGTGGAAAATGCTCTATGTGGAAAATTACAAGAATTGTTCCTAGGCCACCTGAAACCAAAGAATGCCACTTAAGCTATTCTTAATAGCAACTCCCAATATAAGAGGCATATGTTGAGACACTACTTACTAATCTAACAGATTTTCTTCAAGTGCGGTTCCAAAATCTAAACACTGAACATGTACTTTTGTGATTTTAAGTTCACCAGATTTATCTTTATGCAAAGAAATATTGGTAGTTATACATACGGTATTAATTTAGTGATGTTGAAAAAGCCTTTCCTTTTCTGGACACTCTGCCTTATCCTCAATATCTTCCATCCAATTTTAACAGTGCCTATTGAATTATTAGACACCTCTTCCTATACAGGAATGATCCTCTCTTCCCAAGCACTCTTAAAAATAAAAGGAGAGGGTTTTATAGACTATAACCAATGTGTGTAGCCTATTACACTTTACAAATGACTTTCACTTACATGACTTCATTTATTCCTTATAATTATTCTTTGAAATAAACTAGTTTTATTCCCATTTTATTGAGGGGGAACATGAGATTTAATGAATTGCCTGGAGCCATGCAACCAGCAGTGAAGGAGCAGCATGTGTTGAGTAGTTTCTCACCACTTAAGATCTTGTTAAAATATAGATTCTGATTCACCAGGTCTACAGTGGAGGCCCAGATTCAGCAATCCTAGTAAGTTTCCAGGGCCGCTTGCCCACGAAATCACACTTTGAGTATCAGCGGTGTAGGTATGAAATGTGAAATCAGCTGACCTGCATTTGCATTCTCACGTTGTTGATTGTCATCCCTATGACTTTGGATCAATCACTTCAGTTTAATAAACTTTAAGTTTCTAATTCGTACAAGGTAATGCTTGCAGTAAATGCTTCCATGTAGTAAAATTCCATGGCATTTTCATGAACTTATTCACTGATGCAATGCCATGTTTTCTTTTTTTCTTCAACCCGCAGAATTTCCTATTGTATATGAGCTAAATGGTCCATAATGAACTGAGGAAAATGCCAATCGTATAGAGAGATGTGCTCCTTGCTCAGAGCTCTACCTTCTTATGTATTTAAAGAATACATTTTTGTTTGTTTTTCTAGTAGATGTTAATTTTTCTATGCAATTGTTTAAATAATTTCTTCACAGTAATTCTTTGAAATTCCCATAAAATATTACCTAATAGCACCGTGATGGGTTTCCATTAGTTTATGGCCCTGTGTGAGGGAATACTTTTGAGAGATCATTTAAATGTCTTGCAAATGTCGCCCCCTGGTGGAATGATATGTTATTATTTTAGAAGCAATTGTAGCCCTTAATTATGTAGTTAAAACTACTGGACTGTTTTCTTTCTTTTTTCTTTCTTTCTCTCCCTCCTCCTCTTCTCCCTCCCCCCTTTTCTCTTTTTTCTACTCCCCTCCTCCTTCTCTTTGATATTTCTTAAGTTAAAATCTATAGAGAAAAATACAAAGTATCTTTGTGAGCAATGTATTTGCCTGAACAAGTGCTAAATGTCCTTTAGAAATAATTTCTTTTCATGAGAATCCCTCAGTTGACTGAAGAATTATTACGAGAAACCTCACTCCATTAAGATTTAAAAATGGCATAGTAATCACGTGGGAGAAACGGGTTAGAGTTTCTGATCATAATAGGATGAATTGTGATAATTTTATGATTATTTCAAAGTAGAAATATGCTTGATGTTTCCTTTTCTGTCACCGAGTGTGTGTGTGTACATACATAAGGTGCCACATTTAATGCTATT